ACACACATGGCCCACCACCCGCATGCACAGGTGCCCCTCCCACCCACGAGCAATGCCCCTTGGCACATGCATGCAAGCACACTCCCCTCCGCAAGCATCCCCCGCAGACCCTACCCCTCCAAATGGTCTGTAACTCAGAAAAGGTTGGGGACCACTGTCCTAGAGTACTCAGACACTGGGTATCCAGAGCAGCCAGGGGTTCCTAACCTTGGTTAGCCCAGGTGTTCTTAGACTGCAACTCCCAAAAGCCTTTACCACTAGCTGTGCTGCTTCTGGGAGTTGCAGTCCAAGAATACCTGGGTTACTCAAGGTTAGGAGCCACTGACCTAGCCCAATATTCTTGTCCTAGCTGGTAGCAGCTCTTCGGTGTTTCGGGCAGGAATTTTCTCAGCTGTACTTGGAGAAATATTGGAGAATGAAAAATCTGTGCTCCACTTTGAGCTTCTGTCCTCCCTATGAAGCCTTAGAGGTGACTAGGTAAATCTCTCAGCTTGGCCAGATTTCCCCAGTAATATTCTCTTGCACAGTCTGCTGCCCCCACCTACTAATTTGTGGAGAGAAGTTGGACCATTTTATTTAGCTGGTACAGTGCTTCAGAACCAGCACATTGAGTGAAATATGCCAATCTCAGAATCTATTCTGGCCAGAGAACAGGTATGAAAACACTAAACATGTAATTATTTATGGAATATAATGTCCAGAACAAGTAGATTTCTAGTAAACAATAAACAACAGTTCTGTCAAATAATCTAACATCATTGATACTCTTGTCAACACCCCATGACATTTTTCCCTCAGATCCTATGGACTCCTGTAAGGTTGGTCTTCTCCCTGATTATGCCTAATTCTGCCTCTTAATTCCTATGTGTTTCTGTCTCAGGGATGTGAAAAATATTTGCTATGTTTCTCATTGTCTTTAAATTGGGTTATTATAGCAAGGCAAGCTACCTTCATGAGGAATTTTCAAGTGCTAACATTTTCCTCACCTCCAATATGAGGAGAGAAGCATTTTCCCCCTTAGGTTTCCAAAGTTAGTGCAAAACCAGCATCTTTTCCCTTGGTGAAGCAAGTGCATCCACCCATTATCCTGTGGTCTCCCTTGCTGTCAATCATCCTTATGCTCACTCTCCTGTCACATGGGCAGAGAGATCAGTGGGGAACCATGGTGAAAGTCACAGTGGCTGCATTTCCTTTCTCTCCAAGGCTCGGAGGACCTTTAAACATATACGCACACAGCCTCTGGGTTAGACATTTGTTGTTGTTATGAGCTGTCACATCACGTACAATGACCCTATAATTAGTGACCTCCAAAGGGTCTTATTTGTATTAGAATTTGGTAGCCCACAATACTGCAGGTCAGTTTCTGAGAGACGGACAGGTTCAGCTCTAAAACAAGGATTTCCAACTCGCAAAATTTAATCTGCAATGTTTTATGTGTTTTTCCCCCCCCTCATGCTACTTCCATAAGCAGCCCACTGACAAGAGTCGCTTTGTGCATATCAATGGCTTGAGGTAAGCTGATCTGTTGCTGTAATTGTCAGGAATCTTTGCAAAAGAAGAGCAAGTAATTAACATCCAAATGGCAATTCTTCCTTCAGACTGGGAATATTTCAAATTGGACCATTGTTCTGTAGTTAGGAGAAACAAAGCCCCTGTGTGATATCTGCATTATTTAGCTAATAATGTAATAATTATTCAGCTAAGAAGCTGATGCCCAGGCTTGTGAGACACAGGTTAAAGTCACTATTGAAGCCATGAAATTTACTGGGCAATCATGAGCTGGTCATGCTCTCTCAGCCTAGTAGTTGTGATCACACAGGTATATAGCTCACATTTTGGACTCCCTTTGGCACAGTATGATGTCAGCTATTCCCAGAGACCACACAATGTGTGGGAATAGCTCTCTAGCCTGACCCCAATCCATGGCCATATGGGACCTTTTTAGGTCCAGTAGTGGTGCAACTACTTTATGGGGCTAAAGTGATTCCCCATTTGATGGGTCACTTTGAGGGAGATTTGCTGCAAGCAAAGTGGCCCTTATTGGTGCAATCAGATGTACATCTTTATCATTGCCTGATTACACCATAGGCTTCACAAAAGTAGCCCTGTTTTAGGGCAACTATATGGCCAAATACCATAGCATTTGCTTCACTTATAAAATGGGTGACTACATTGTTGTTGTTTTTTTTTTTACTGTCTGCATGATGTACAAGGCTGATTCGAATTGGTTCAGCCAAACCAGCTTTTTCTTCTGCCTCTAGGGCTCCCCACCCCCGCAGATGCTATTATAAAGACAGGGCTGTGTCTGTAGCATCAGCCTTTACCTGTCTCCTCTCCCAAGCAGCTTCCCAAACAGGTGGGAGCGATGCGCCGGGTGGGGGACATGTGAAAGCGAAAAACCATTTGTTGTGAAGCTGCTTTCTCATTTAAAGCTTTGAAAAAAAATGTTTCTATGGAAAAATAATGTGGAAAAGGTGAATAAACGAAAATATGTCACCAGAGATCAGTAATTCCTACATGAATTACTTAAAAGTAAGGGAAGAAACTAATGAGTGGTGGAAAGGAAGTGATTCCAAATGGAATCATTCTGAGTTGTGAATCATGATGCATTTTGCAAATTTATGGCTCTAACTTTGGATGTCCTGTATTCTGAGGCTATGAAGTACCTTTCTATGTTATTTTTCTATATTTATAGGAACAGTTCTCAAAAATTGTAGTAGCGTGAAATTTGAGTGGGCAGGATCCCCTTACAGGATACTTGGCTGAGAGCCAGTGAAGTTCTACCTGGCTTGTCTGCAAACAATGTCTGGTACATTTGCATTGGCACATGCCCTGTCTTTGGGTTATCTTGACCGTATCAGGGGACACTTGCAACTCATCCCACTTAGCATCCTGGCATCCAGTCAATGCATCCACCAACCCCTCCTGCGGCTCTTTCCTGGCTGTACATATAAGAATCTTAATGCACGTGAGGGATTTCTGAGACAGCTCATTTGGGGTTTCGGCTGCTTCACCCTGACCTTTGGACAACGTCTCACTGAGCTGTGTAGGTGTTCCTGTGGAGGCAACATTTTCCATGGCTCTTCATTGCACCTCCTCCTGCTCTGGAGTATGGGATTCCTCTGGGCTACAAACCTTTAAAGGATTGACAGAGATGGGACCAGGATGGAAGGAAGGAATGGGGGTGGGGCTGTGGGCTGGAATGTGACTTGCATCACAACCAGTATGAGCGGAGAACGCCTGACTCAATCCAAAGCCCCTGTGTGGGCACTGTTTCCAATTTCAGTCACAAAACAAGTTGTGAATCAAATGGCAGCAAAGCCAAATCGTTTTGATTCGGCTCTCCAATGTAGCCACGCCCTTAGTCTGCACAAGCAGACAAAAACCCAAACCGAAATGCACACACGCACAAATAAATAAAACAAAACCCAGAAATGTTGGCATCCTGAAGACTAACTACTATATTGTTTCAATGTGAACTTTTGTAGATATATCCACATTTGCTTCTTAGCCTAGGGTTGTTGTGAGGATGGAGAAAAGGCGCACATATATCACCTTGAGCTCATAGAAGGAAAACTGTGATATCAAAGTAATAACAAATAAAGTAATAACAAATAATACAAGAGTTGTGCTAGTAGATGAATGTTTGAAAGCAAGGAAGCATAGTCTTTTTTTTCTTATTTACTGAGAGCCTAACATCAACCTCCTAAATCCTTAATTAGGCTCCTTGGTGCTTTAACAAACCACATCATTTATACTTTATTAGGAGACTCACAATGTAGGCCTAAATGAATAATTACCTGGATTTAATTCTTTTCCCCCTCATGTATTTTCATTCTGTCTTCTTATTGATTAGAGAAGAACAGAGGCACAAAGGCCATCAATGGCACTCCAGAATGCTGTTGGAGGAATGTTTTCGGGAACTGGCCCAAATCACAAAAGGAAACAAAGAGCTCGTGTCAGACTCTTCAGTCTTGCCCTCCAGCAACTGACAGCTTCTGTGGGGAAAGAATGGAAGCACTTTGCTTGGGGTGCTGAAGCACTGAAAACATGATGAGGTATAGCTCAGAGAAAGAGAACATCTAAGCGTTTTTGGAAAGAAAAAGGAGATCTATCATTGTTAAACTGGCATTCCTGTCTTTCTCTCCCTATGTGTGTTTTTAAATACATCTCACTCTTCTCATCCATCTGGATGTCTCCTGTTCCTTCAGGGTCCTTTCTCTCTGTGTGAAGATGTGTTAAAAGACCTATTGCTACCCACTGCACTTTTGCTTTGTCTGAGCAATATATCAATGGCTGATTGCCTCAGGCTCTCCCAGACGAGTGGGAACTTCTCTATCCTGAGCATTTTGTGCTTTTGCGACCATTTGCAAAGATCATTCCTTCTGTGCTGAGGACCAATTGTTCATGGTCTTCTTAGGAAAAATCTGGGCCTCTTTTCTAAGTTTTACTCAAATGATTTTGTTCCTCCCTTTAAAGGTCTGTTTTCCCTTTGTTTTACCTCAAATTGCTTAAAAAGTGAGGCTGTTGATCTTGGAGCAATTCCTTCAGCAACAAGGAAATTCACTTTAACTGAGCTTCGAAGTAACTAGATGGAAACCATAAGTTACTTGTAATTCTTAGCATTTTTTCAATAACTAAGGCATGACTAAGTTACACTATATTGTAAGATTGTGCGAGAGAGCTTAATCCCTTTTATATTGTAATTGTTAATTGTTTTAGCTACTTTTATAATTATCAGGGGTATATTATCACAGTACTTAGGTGTGTTTTCTACCCCAAGATAGCAATCTTAGTATTATGATGTTAAAAAAAACAATTAATTAAAAGGGTAACTGTTGGCAAAGTGGGCATGATATTACACAGAAATATCTGGCCATTTCCTGGCTTTTTGAATCATGGGCACAGAAGCACAATATCTCACATCCATAAATTATAGGTTTTTTAAAGAATTGAATTTCCTGGATTTTAAAAATGGAAGTTTAAGCATCTTACCTCATGCAAAATTACGCAGTGCTAGAGGGCCCCAGAAGATGAGCTCATGATGTTTACTATGGTTGCTGCTTAAGGGCAGAATGAACGGAAGTTTAAATATACACTGCATACAAATTCCAACAGTATCTTACCTCATGCAAAATTACCAGTGCTAGAGGGCCTCAGAAGATGAGCTCATGATCTTTACTATGGTTGCTGCTTAAGGGCAGAATCAGGAACAGCTGGGATGTGGCTGTAGTCTCTCTGTTGACAAATCATGAATCACAAATTTATGATTTTTTTCTAATTAATCAATTTGTTGATTTGTTTTGACTTTAAAACCCTATAAAATGCCCTCCCCCCCCCAAGCAGCTAGAGAGACCAAAATTACAGAGAAGCTTTTCTTACTCTCCTCTACAAGCTCTAAAAATTCGGTGACGTTTCGGTTTTGGACATGAGAGTTATATACCCACAAAATGGGTCCCCCAGAAAAGTGCCCAAGCAGCTGGCTTGAGGAAAGCCCAATCTTCACCAAACTTGGAGGGACTGTAGAGGAGAGTCAGGGGAAGTGGCTTCTCTGAGATTTTGATGTCTCTAATTGCCTGGGGGCCAGTTTTATTTGTCAGGGTTTTTTTTACCATATTTGAATTTTTAAAATTTCAAGTGGTCTCCATCTCAAAGTTGAAGAAATCTGTGAATTGCAAGACATTTTTATCAATAAAAAACTGAAGCAAAATTCTCTCCCATTCTTAGACTAAACCTGATTTTGCTGGTTGTATTCAAATGTTTTTGTCTTCTCTGCCCCCTTGATTTGGCCTTCCTCGCTATTGCCTGTTTGCTTGCCCTGCTACCTTTCACAGCTGCCAACCAGCTCTCAGCTTCAGCCAGACTTTCCCCTTCTCCTGAAATAAATTCTTCTTTTCTACCCTTGCTTTTAAAATTATCATATTCCTTCTCTGTTGCAGACAGCTAAAATTCAGTATATGAATGTTCCTTAAAATCTTTTGTTGCTTGGTCTCATAGGATCCACCTTGATTCTTTATCTAGGTTAATTAGATTAGTTGGCCTTTTAAAACGTGCCCCACCGGTTCTGCCTTTCTATTCATACACACAGAATGTATGTACAATGCTGTGTAGTAGAGCTTCCTGTTGCTCCATACCTACTGTGCTGTTTTACAAAACTGGCAAATAGTACATCTGTTGTTTCATTTTTCTCTTATAAAGTGAAAATCTAAAAGATAAAGCAGATGGCTACATCTGTCTTGAACAGGGCAAGTCCTGGGGACCACATGTCCAGCTAATGCTGTGGTTTGATTAATTATGAGGAAAAATTCTGCTCCAAGACCAATCTGTCTGTTAGTTAACTCCTTGTCATATGAATATTACTGCTGTATGCAATGTGAGGTATTTGTGTTCTTTGTACGGGACCAGCATAGTTTCTAATATTTTACTATAAAGCAGGGATGGGCAAAGTGCAGCCTATACATGGAAGGAATTCTGAAGGCCACATTTATTTAGGTAAGAGGGGTACAAAATGGACAATCCTTACCTCAGAAGCCTTCGATTGGACCTCCCCTCACCCCAAACTGTTTTTGAAACCAGAAATTAACCATTCACATCTGTTTTCAGAATAGAGCATCACAGGACGAAAATAAGCTGAGGTGTTATAAATATGACTCTGAAGATTAACTGTGTCTCATGAACCTTCTTGAGGGACTTTCTTACCCTCCTCCCCAATTCCACCCCCATCTCTGATAATAACAATTATGTGTGGTCAGTTCAGTTTCAATTTGTAGTGACACTCCTTCAGTTTTGTAGGCACAACATACTCAGAAATGGTTTATTAGTTCCCCCTTTTGGTGCTACTCTAGGATGTACAGTGATTCAGACAGCTAAACCTGGAGAGCATCTGAATAGAAGTTGAATATAGGAGCGAAACTCCTGAAGATATTGTAAAATGATATTGCTTGCTTAATATACTCAACAAGTTTCAACTTAATGTTTCTAGGGCTTCTTCAGGGGACTATAAAGATATATAAAAATAACATATGAATCGGTGTTGTTCAGTTGTTAAGTTGTGTCCGACTCTTTGTGACCCCATGGACCAGACATGAATACAGTCATCTAAATATTAAATAACTCAGAATCATTTGCTTACTTCCACACCATAATATTCCTAGCCTATCATATTTACTAACTTAAAGAAAACAATTTGCAGAAATTTTTGCTGGCAAAGTCTGCAATCCGGCTTAGTGGAGACAAACACAAGTGAATGGAACTCTGTGTGCTTCATTCTGTCTGTTAGAGACACCTGCAACTAGAACATGTTAATTAGATTCAAGCACTCTTATCAGGTGAGCACTGGCATAAGAAAAGGGGAAAACTCTGAGAACTCCAGATCTTATTCTTAGAGTTCAGTTATGCTTGGGGAAAAAAAAAAACACAGTTGAAACTATTCATTCATTCATTCATTCATTCACACAGTTGAAACTATTTATTTATTTATTTATTTATTTATTTATTTATTGGATTTCTATCCTGCCCATCTCGACCAAAGGTTTTATCATGTTTTAAATCTATGTAAAAATGGAATACATGGTGCACCTGGAAATGCAGATTATTTTGACAGGAAATCATGTTTTTTAAGCAGCAGTGAGTTTCTTTACTCTTCCACCAAAGGACCCTTTAACTCAGATGTTGAATCAATTTATAGTTATTCATCATACGTGAACACCTCCGTTGGCATAAATTTCTCACCAATAGAGTGTCAATTTGAATTCCAGTTAGATTTGTCTCATATTGGACTGTTTTGTCCTGCATTTCAGATATTTCTTCCAGTCATCTACACTTTACCGCTTAGTTGCTTATTCACAGGCAGTCTTAATTTACCGCTTAGTATTGCTTAGTTGCTTATTCACAGGCAGTCTTAAATCATTGAGGAAATAAACAAAAGTTTACTTTATTATTATTATTAAAACATTTTTGGGATGTGATCCTGCCCGCTTTTTGCAGGATGAAACTGATTCTTTATCTGGCTCACCAAGCGAGAGTCATTCGTTTTGGATTGTTGGAGGGAAGAAGGGAGGTGTGGGAGAGGAGGAGGAGAACAAGGGTTGTGGGTACCAAAAGAAAGAAGGAAAGCTTCACTCAGCATGTCGTTTTGAATCCTCATTTCCCTGGCTTCTCCTTTCTTGCTTCACTGTTTCCTTCAATCAGCAATGTTACAAAGACACTGAGCTGTTCTTAAAAACAGAAGAAAAAACATAATTCTATTGCCATGCCACTTCGAAATATTAAACAAAAAAATTGACACATAGGAGCTCCAGGATTATTATGTAAACATCGCAGACCATGGGGCTCAGGAAAAGATTTAAATAAATATGATGTCAATTGTAAGTATAGTCTCTGACATTGGTTTAGCACTTAAGAAAACATGAGAATAAAAGTTTCCTTGAGGAAATGCATGCAGCAATTAAAATACCATGTGACTGCCATGTGACTTTAAATCCACTTCAATAACACCACCACACATTCCAATATATTTCTGTAATGTAACTGTGGCCTTAGAAGAGTGGAAATAACTCTAATGCTTTGTTTAGACATAAAGAGGCCAAAGTCTTTAATTTTTATATTGATTTCATTTCTTTCCTTCATCAGGTTTTTATCATCCTTCTTAGTACAATGCTCAGAATCTAAGATCTGTTGCAGAATCATTATGCTGTATTTCTCCTTGACAGGGGCTAAACTTGATGGCTGAGAGGATCCCTTCCAGTTCTGCAGTTCTCTGCACGTTATTATTACTAAATGGGCAACTAGAGGAGCACCTAACCTCCAGTTCAATGTTGCAAAAATGTGCCTCTGCCTCGTTTTTAAAAGAGGTCTCCTAGTTTTAGCCCCACAGACATTTTTTGATTGTGACATTGAACAGCGGTAGCATAGATTACAAAATGGCTATCACAGGTGGTACAGTCTTGTGAAGCAATTCTTTTCTGGTTAAAGTGATCTACAGAAATCACCATATTTGAAGTACATCTGCAATACAGGCAATAGCCACAAGCACGGTGACCCATGGGGCCAGGAGGTTCTAGCAGAGTGTTCTGTGATGTCGGCCCTCCCAACTTTGATACAGAGCAAGAGTGGGAGAGGAACCAGTCTGATGCAAGGAGATGGATTCTCGCCCTCTAATCCCTTGTTGGCTGGATGATATCAGGGACATAGTTGTGCCCCAAATGTCCTCTTTCTGAAGCACCACCTGACGCACCCCTACAGAGGGTAGATGAGAGGATGCAGAGCTGAATATGCCTGGCTTTACTCCCCCTCTTGCCTAATCAGCACAAGGAAATACAGTAAATGCCATCACAATATACCTGCACACTGGCGTTGTCTCCTAATGGTTTCCACCATCATGGAGCTCTGAAGCCCTATTCAGCCAAATATAGAGAGTAATCAAATGGAGAAATACACCTTATTTTGGACTGCCTGTGGTATGGTCTGGTGTGAGTTATTTTCTGGCAAACATCTGATATGCAGGAGATCGCAAACCCGTCTGACCTGCTCCATACCCAAGCTGGACTTTTTTTCTTTCCAGCAGCAGGGCTATTTTTATTTTTTATTTTTTATTTTTGGAAGCTGGACTAGAGTGATGGCTGTATGCACAGAAGGGTTGCTATAAGGGAGATCGCTCCTAGAGAAGAGTGATCCTTTCCAGTGCAGTCAAATGCAATCTTTTATTGCCACCTGATTGCACCCAATGTCACATCTTCTTTGTAGAGCTTTTCTGTCAATGCGGGAACAACCCACAGTGTGGGGGGGGGCAGGCCTGGACCATGCACTCTCATCTCCCTGCACATCCTCAGAAAAACTAATATTTGATTGAAAACTGCTTTAGGTTATAAAAGATCTGTGAAAGTATAGTTCATACATTGCTATACATGTGGGTGGTAAAGAAAAGAGCAAGAGCCTCGTGGCGCAGTGGTTAAAACGCTGTACTGCAGCTAAAACTGTGCTCACGACCTGGGGTTCAAATCCCAGGTAGCCGGCTCAAGGTTGACTCAGCCTTCCATCCTTCCGAGGTCGGTAAAATGAGTACCCAGCTTGCTGGGGGGGCAATGTGTAGCCTGTATAATTAAATTGTAAACCGCCCGGAGAGTGCTTGTAGCACTATGGGGCGGTATATAAGTCCAATAAATAAATAAATAAATAAATAAATAAATAAACAAACAAACAAACAAACAAACAAACAAACAAACAAATAAATAAATAAACAAACAAGAGCCCAAGGGCAATTTAGATTAACCGAAAGGGTGTCCAGCGGAATAAGATGCCTCCGCTGAGCATCTCAAAAAGTGGTTCTCAGGCAGTAGTACATTGACCACTGGTGGGACACAGGATTCGTCTAGGTGAGAGACACGGCTTTCAGAACAGTTGCTCAGAATTCATCTTCCTTCTGTCCCTATGTCCTTCTGCAAGTGTGACATGCCATCTCCTACTTTGCCTGCCTGTCATGGATTATCTACCTTTGACCTTTTGGCATGCTGGTAATAATATTTTATGTTCAACGTTTCTTATAATTCTCCATTCACTCACCCACTAATTTACTAAAAACATTAAT